TATTTCCTCCTGCCTTCTTCGTTGTTGACATTCTTCCATTTCCTTCGCTCCTCCATTTCATTTATCATCTCCTGTGTAACCCATGGTTTTCTTGCTATCTTCTCAACTTTACCAACCAAATCACTGATAGTATCTAACATGCAATCTTTTATATTGTTCCACTGCACTTCAGCATTTCCGCTTTCACCTTCAATTGCACCGAATTTCTCTTCTAGGGTCTCCTGCACACTTTGTCTTTGAGCATATAACTTCTCCAAATCCCACCTAGGTCTGCGCTTTTTAAATCTTATAATTTTCTTCAACCTGGTTCGGAACTTGGCAACCAGTAAGTTGTGGTCAGAGTCAATATTTGCCCCAGGCAGCATCTTCACATCCTTCACACTGTTTCTGAATCGATGTTTCACAAGGATGTAGTCCAGCTGATGCCTCTTCCTATCCCCAGGTGCCTTCCATGTGTAAATTCTTCTCTTTGGCTTCTTGAACCAAGTGTTGGTGACAATCAGTCCATTTCGTTCACAAAAGTCAATAAGCATTTGACCCCTGTGATTCCATCTTCCTAGTCCATGTGATCCAACAATATTCTGATATGGTTCATCTCCAACAATGCTATTCCAGTCTCCCAATATGATGCTGTTTCTGTCACCTCTTCCATCTTACTGAAGAATTTCTTCAATTGTGTCATACACTTTTTCCACTTCATCATCTTCATACTCTGATGTTGGCATATACACTTGCATAATCAGTATATCTACCAGTTCCGCCTTTAACTTCAGAGCAATAATTCTGTCATTACAAAGAATCTTCTTAACAACACTCCTCACTACACTTTTATGCACCACTATTGCCACACCTCTTTCGGTCCGTTCACCTCCGGAATAATACACTGTATTTTAATACACTTCTTATTTCACCTTGTCCTTTCCACCATAGTAATATTAAAATAACATACCAATATTCAGCACTTTATTTTCTAAAAATATGTTTTCCAGTACTCTCACACTTTGCTTACCATCAAGATCAAACATTGTACTGCCAGATATGAGTCTTTGTGATGATTTTGCTGGAACACATTAGCCACTCACCAGTTGGGTGCAGGAACATACCTAACTAACTAAATTTATGGACTGGAGCCTCTCTTGTGAAGCTGCCAGTTGTGCAGCTATTCAAGAACACCCCAGCATTTTATGGAACCCAAATATTCATTACTGTGTTCACAAGAGCCAGCCACTGGTCCCAATCCTCAGCAAGATCAATCCAATCCATACCATACCATCATATCGCTCTAAGATCCATTTTAATATTATTCACTTGCTTATATCTTGGTCTTCCTAATGGTCTCTTTCCTTCTGCCTTTCCCACCAATATCCTATATGCATTCCACTTTTCCCCCCTTCATGTTACATGCCCTGCCCATCTCATCCTCCTTTAATCGATCATTCTAATTATACTTGGCAAAGTGTACTAGTTACAAAGCTTCTCATGATGTAGTTTCCTTCAACCTCCTGTCACTTCATCTCTCTTCAGCCAAAATATTCTCCTCAGCAACCTGTTCTCAAACATCCTCAGTCTGCGTTCCTCCCTTACTGTCAGAGACCAAGTTTCACAATCATAGAGAATCACAGGAAAATTTTTACTTTTGTATATTCTAATTTTTATGATTCTAGACAGCAGATGAGAAGACAAAAGGTTATGGACTGAATGGTAGCAAGCATTACCCAAATTCAATCTATTCAGAAAGGTACTATGTTTACTGCCATTAAACTATTCAACAGATTGCCCATAACCATTCAAAGCCTTAAAGAGGATAGAATTAGTTTTAAAATAGGCCGTTTTTATATCTTATGAATAATTCCTTTTATACAGTTTCTGAATATGTGGAGCATAACATAAACAATTAGTCTTAATTATTTTGTTGTCTGTGTGTTTGTTTAAATTTGTTTTTATATCTTATGAATAATTCCTTTTATAAAGTTTCTGAATATGTGAAGCATAACATAGGCAATTGGTTTTAATTATTTTGTTATCTGTGTGTTTGTTTTAATTTTTGTAGGACGACCTTCATGTCCATTTGTTTGGACTTGTGAAATGAAATGTAATGTATGTATGTATGTATGTATGTATGTATTCTTAATTTCTTCCTGAATCAGGTTTTCATTTGTTACTGTTGTTCTCAAATATCTGAACCGTGCCACACTGTCAAAGCAACTATTAGCTTTCTTTATGTCATGATGTTGCCCAGCATTCTGGTGACGAGACAGCATCATATACTTATTTTTCTCTGTATTTACTTCTAGACTAACATCCTTACTTGCATCAGTTAAAGTTCACATCCTCAGCACAGACCAACAGTCAATGTATCCCATTTAATTTCAGTCCCACCTGATTTTCCTCGACTCTCCTAATGGCATATTCTAAAGCAAAGTTGAAAAGGAGTGGTGATAAAGCATCTCCCTTTTAGACCATTCTGGATATGAAAATTATAAGACAAATGTTTACTTATACGGACTTTACTATACATTTCACTTACATTTTAATCAGCAGCTCAACTAATTTCATTGGTACCCCAAACTCTAAAAGAATATACTGTACAATACTTCCCTCCTAAGTGAACCATAGGCTTTCTTGAAGTCTACAAATAGCTGAAATACTGTCTCATTGTACTTCCACAAAGTACAAAAAAAATCTGATCAATAGTTGATCTGTTACATCAAAACCCATACTGACGATCCCAAATAATTTCATCTATATATGAACTTAACCTTGAAAGGATATTGGATGAAATTTTCTATGAAGTTGATAGCAGTGATATCTCACGATAATTATTACAATCAGTTTTATCGTCCTCCTTATGAACTGGTACAATAATATACTCCTTCCACACTTATCAGGTAATTCTTCCTTATTCCAAACAGAATTACTGAGCCAGCAAAGAAAAAGCAGTGCTGACATTAAAATGTCAAAAGTTAATGGTGAGTACTTGGTATAGTTCCAAAAACTTGTTACCTCGTTTTAATTTATGGTTTTGTACTACCAAATCACGTAACAGAGGCAATCTCTCCCTCATCTTTCGTATAATTTTAGAGCTAGGGTAACGTGTTCCATGGCGAACAATCATCCATACTTGAAGTATATTACAACCTATAACACACACAAAAAAATAATAAAATATTTCATGGATAATGTCCAGAAGCATAACATTTGTGCTAATGCACCATCATCACAAAATTTTAGAGCTCACTGTCATTGGTATCCTTACTAACCGAAATATTTAATAAAACAAAATTAAAAATTATACCTGGATAATGAACAACTGAATCATTTTTGTTGGTTATGTAACGATAAGGTGTTTTAGTTGCAAGATGCAGATGTGTTTTCTGGCTTCTGCTGAAACATTTCTCAGATAACAAAGCTGGCAATGTGATAAGGCACATGAACAAGATCAGCATCCATCGGCAGCTTTGTTCCATTTTAGCTGTAAAAGAATGCCCACGAAAACTAAAAAATCAGGATCTCATACATAGTAATGTGATATAAACAAAGATCTGATCTATCCTTTCTGGCCTACATAAAGCAATTTGGTTCAGTACCATTTTATCAACTAACATGAATTCTGAGTGTACAATCCAAGTAATCTTAATTAATATAATGGGTACGAAACGCTGTAAGACCTCTGAACCCTTTCACGTTAATTTCAGGCGGAGCATTCTTATGAATTTACAGGTTAGGTTATGGCATATACAACTTGCGTAAGTCCTTGTTTCGTTATACTAAATATTGTGGCTCTACAGATCCAACTTCATAAGATCTGTTACTGCACCTAATTATTCCACCTTCTCTCACAAAACAAACTTATTTATATTACGTAAGAGAAAACCCTGTTTTGTTTGGAGTATGAGTTCATACAAAATCCTGTTTTGTAACTGCTGCGTGATCTCTAACTTTAATAGCTTATAATTAGGTAACTGGATATCATAAATGTTGATTGAGACTTGTACCACGTAAGTTCTAAACTTGAAGCAATCTGTCTTATAAACACAATAACATTATTATAGGGGCAACCATACCACATGACAGCAAAGTAAATAGCGGTCCCTTCGAAGTTGGAAGTGCATGAGACACGAACTGCGTGAAGAATGGAAAACTACGACGTTATAGGTTTAGTTGGTGAAGGCTCTTTCGGGCGAGTATATAAAGCAAAATGTCTCAGAACAGACGAAATCATAGCCATCAAAATCATACGGAAGGTATGTACCATAGGAATGTTAACACTGTTAAAACTTTTTGTCCTTTGAACGAATTGGTACGAACATAACCTAAACATGCGAATGGACGCAGAATTATAATTATTGATAATGTAGTAGTAAGTTAATGAATAAAACTTAATTTCCTCAGGAGATATGCATTACATGGGCCAATACCCCGTATTATTTAAAGGTTAGCAATTTAAATGATCAGTCATTATCGATTCACTTTAGTGGAGAGGTGTAAATTCTGCTTGCAGTTGTCTAATATTAAAGGTAAAAGTACAGATTAAGGGAAGGCTTCCCTCCAGAAAACTAAGCCTTACCTAACTACCAACCAAGAAGGAGCAATAGTATGGGTTCAAAAGCTGTCCTGGACTGTTGGGACACCGTCAGAATTTGCACCTCGGCAAAAAGTTTGGTAAGATTCCTAAATATAAAACAATACATGACTGTCTTGCAAGTAATAGTATCCTTACATTTGACCACACTACTACATGTAAAGTTCCTGAATATTTTAAAGGATGTTCGTTAATTTTGTGAGGCATTGTTTCCATTTGATTCTTAGTTTTGTAATATAGTATTGCACTAAACTGATACATATGATCATTAAAACTATGTTGTCAATGCCCTTTATTGATATGTTTTGTTACTGCAATTTAATAATATACTCATAAACTTAAATTTATGAAATGAATGCAACTATTTATTTTACAGCGAGGACGTTCTGAAAAAGAATTAAGGAGTTTAAGGCAGGAATTTGAGATTCAGCAACATTTACACCATCCAAACATTATACAGATGCTAGATTCATTTGAAACAGAAAATGAGGTAGTGTACAGTATTAATACAAGAACACCAATATTTCAGTAATGATATTACTTAATTGTTCTTTAATTTCATTGTATGACTTTGTATTATTTCATTTTAGATTGTAGTGGTAACTGAATATGCTGAAAAAGAGCTATATGAAATTTTAGGAAAAGAAGGTTATTTGCCAGAAGAACGAGTACATAGAATTGTTTGTGATTTAGTGTCTGCGCTTTATTACTTGCATTCTCACAGAGTTCTTCATAGGTATGTAATTTCCCAGCATTATATATTTTTATTGTTTCAGTTACATTTCTTCCATTATCTATATGCAAAAATTTAAGTAGATCTAAATTATTGTGATGATGCTTATATTGATTGTTTCTGAGTCATGTTGTATTCTGCATGGAGCATTTTTACTTTGTTGACTGGTTCCACAGCTCTGCACTTCATGGTGGCTGGTACACCGCTTGCTGTGGGGCACAATTTTACCAATGGATCAACATGCCTGACAGCCAATAATGTTCAGAATGAAGGGAAGTTCTTATGTTTATTTACAAATAATAGGAGATGTTGAAAATGCTGTCCCTCTACATGAATATATTCCTCACACCTGCGGAAGAGGTTCTGATTTACCCTTTGAAGCTGTTCTGCAGGAATATTTGCAATTTGCCTATGAATATTTTCTTTTATTTCTTCTTCCATTCAGGGGATACTGTCGTAAATATTGTCCTTCAAACAACCCCAGAAGAAAAAGAAAATCAGAAGGATTGAGATCAGGTGAATGTACTGGTCAATTATCACTGCTGATAATTCTGTCCCCAAAGACAACAGACAAAGCCTGCATAGATATATGTGTGGTGTGTACAGTAGCTGACTCTTGTAGAAACCAGTCATAGAGTCTTTCGTCTTCTGTTAACTGTGGAAAGAATTACCTGAGAATGACCTGTACATATATTTCACAGTTGATTGTTGCATTGAAAAAACACAGGTTCAACCATCTTTCTTGCACTTACAGCACACCAGACACCAACTTTTACTGCATGGAGTAGGACTTGGAGGATTAGATGTGGATTCTGTGAACTCCAGTAATTATCTTACATGTCTATGTAGCCCTGCAGGTGACACCACACTTCTTCAGAAAAAATGTCATTTGCGGATTGATCTCGCCCTTGATATCAGACTGTTAAAAGCGGCTGCAAAAATGAATCCTGCTGGCTGGATCATGCCGCTGCAAGGCATATGTGGACGACTGCTGAATTGTCTGCTGTAACTGTCCAGTTTATGGGATGGTCAGTTGATGTTTTGTGTATGGTTAGGGTTTTGTGAAATTCCTCACTTTCGCCTCACAATTTGAAACTTTCCCCCTGAGACACAGAGCAAGTGGCTTGGGTCAAGCTTGAAACCAGCTGCCCATCCGTAAATCAGTCAATTTAACACGTAACACAAGGCCGAGTCCTTTAGAAATTCTAAACTTGACGGGAAGTCATAATTTTAGCAGCATCGTTTCCTGCTACCCCAAAATCTCAGTTTGACAGCCATGCAGCAGGTGGCAAAGTTCACCCCTAAACTGTACACTAGTGGATATTCGCTTTACTAATTGGAGGAGAAAAGTTAAGCAGCCTCCCAGTCTGCCCAGTCCAGCCAATCATCATCTGAAGTGGGAGGTCCTTTGTCCGAATTTTGGGTAACCAGGGCAAATATTTACCATTCAGAGGGTGCTTGGCAAGGAGGACTCTGAAATTTACATTCACCGGGGGTACACGTGTTCTGATCCCCTTAAACACCCCCTGTGCTGACTATTACGTGCGCGTCTCAGTGAACAGTGAGTAAGCCTACATCCACGAATCTGTGAAGTGTGCCGCTATGGTGCTGTTTCCCATTAAATAGTGCAGGTTGAATAAAGACTTCAAACAGTTAATTGGTGTTGAGGTGACTTCCCTACGCCTAAAGCCCCACTAATCACCCAAGTCGCAGCCAGTCAACACGCCCTGAGAGGAGTTCGATTTCTCTACTAGAGCTAGCAGAACCAAAGAACGGTTACACTGCTGAGAATGCTTTCATCATGAAATTTATGTCAAAATTTTCACTGACACTTTCTAGTAGATCTGCATATCACATAGGTGTCATGTAGAAATACAGGTTGCTCTAAAGTATACCGCTCCATGATGCACCACACTGCTCACTAACTGTTAGTGAGAACAAGTGACTCATGGAGCTGATAAATGCTGCCTAGTGGTGACAAATCATAAACAAACTCCTATGCATGAACCATACTGCTCACCATGAAACATAATGCTGTCAGGCAGTCCCTTCATTCCAAACATTACTGGCTATCAGGCATGCTGATTCATCAGAAAAATTCATAGGAGCCTTGCAGCAAGCAACACACCTGTTACCATGAAGCACAGAGCCGCGAACTCCTCCACAAAGTTGAAAAACCCTCTGTATTAAGTACTGAAGTTATACGTAGGTTTAGTGAATACAAACACTTTTAATTCGCTGGTTATCCTCAAGGTTGAAATGTACAGTGTACCAGCAGGTGTGTGACTTGACTTTTGACAAGATTTATTGTTATGAATTATTTATGAGCATACATACTTCCTGATAAAGAGTGCTGGTGAATGCTACACAAAGTGTGCATAGTTCATATATTATAATTGAATTGATTTTGGGAGTCCCAAGTGTCAGTTGTACACCAGAGATTGAGAGAACACATTCCTCTGAAACAGTAATGATCTACTAGATTTCTTTTTATAGTATGCATCCTGTTGTTTATCACAAATATATGGTTAGGTAAGGTATTTGTCAAGAAAAAAATGGTTTTGCAATCAAGTAAGTATCTCATAAGTTGAATTTTATTGTTTACCGCTACAAGTTTTCATCAGGCAGTGTATATATACATATATATATATATATATACACACACACACAC